TGACGTGGTGTAACTTTTTTAAATTATATTTTGACCCCCGTTTTCTGATTTTTTTCAAAAATACACTCAAAACCCAAATTTTCACTATTTTTCCCAAAATTATTTCAATTAAATTTTCAATTATTTTTTTTATCCTTTTTATTATTATTATTACTATTATTTTTATTTAATCAAATTAAATTAAATTAAATTAATACATATTTATATTTATGTAGAAATAAAAATAATTGGGTATTACACTTACGTGAATGTGGCATTTTTTATGAAAGAAATCTAATGAATATTGTTAAATTATTTGGAACTATAATTCAAGATTAAATGCATAAAAATAGAGAAAAATGGAACTGCTCGCCAAGAGCTCTTTCACCATAGGTTCCTTTAGTGAAGGATTGGATCTTAAAATCAGGCACCAAAATTGCAAATTGTTACGAATAATTCAATCAAACAAGAAAATGAAGATAGCTATCCCTTTGATACTGGTCTAACAACCATCACATTCCATCTATCCAATCTTCACTATTTCTTTTTCTGCTAAATTTATCATGTCAATCCCACGATTGGCATCACCGACGATTAAACTAAATGGTATTCTTTATTGATCAATTTAGAGTTCAGGAACCATCACCGAGAATATCCACAGTGAAAGGAAAGAGTAGGAATCAGAAAAAAATAGGCCAGATATCACTTAATTCCAGCTATATATTAGCTTTGCGATTCTTTAGGGGTTTTGTCAAACAGAAAACAAGCAGTATAAAGTATCATAGAAAAATCCAAAACTGAACAGTGCCGCCATCTTACCTCTAAGACAATAATCAGGCTAAACCATGTGTTAAAGGATCAAGCATGTAAAGGTGGATGATTAAACATGGTTACTCGAGAAAGAAAGAAAAAAGATTGATAAATCGAGCATGATGCAGCTTCAAAAACATGGACTAATTCTCCAGCATTTAAGAAAACATTTGATAAGCATACACATATAAATTCATGACCATTAAGACATCGATTCTTATCTAAATGCTGCTACCAAAATGGCTAATACGGTTAAAATTAGTTAGAGGGAGCCAGTAAGCGATTTTTAACTCAATCTAACAGGAAATAATTCACGTATAAATACCCAAGTCAGGGCAAATGTACCTCATTCAAAAAGAATCAGCAATATCTCTCTTCTCTCCGTGCTCCTCTCTTATCTCCTCTGCTTTTTCTCTTTCTGCAAATCAATTCAACTATCCAATGTAAGGAATCACATGGAATCAAACAAGAAAGACCATAGCACCAATTTGTAGCAGCACCAGAAAGAAAACAAAGGAGATTTTAAAGCTAAGAAATCCAAGAATCGCACCGTTTGTAATGCACATAGCTGATATTCTTTCAATCATTTTGACAAACAGGTGGTAGGCTACTCAATGGGCAACGAAGTCCCTCCAGTTAAAGCAAAATCTACATGCACCCTATCTGATCAAAAATGGAATAACGGAAAGAAGGAAGCTAGACTTGCAATACCCTTCTAGTTTTATCATCATAAAACTACATGAAATTACATAAAAAGAAATTATACCAGGAAAACCTGGAATCAGTAGTTCATCTTCCTCTCTGCTCTGGTCTATGATTTCTTTGCTTTTCTTGTAAGTATGGGAATCAAGAATCAAATGGGCTATTGATGGGAGAGCCGCGATGGGCTTAACTAGATTCCATTTTTTAAACTAAGCTTAATTTGGAGAGATGTCAGCATTATCCAGTCTTGAAGTACTTCGTAAAAAACAGACAGATGTACTTGTAACAGTTATCTATATTCTGATGCAAGGAAATTAACATATAGCCATATGGATACAGTAACGATATATACTACTGATGTGATAAATTTTTTTAATAATTTTGAATGATCCATTAATAAAAGCAAACAGATTTGTTTGAAACCAGAGAAAAAAGCCAAAGAAAAAATTATAAAACCAGCAAACTCAATTTTCACATGTCAATTTATGTTTTCATTTCTCGCAGTTTTTCTTTTAGACCACATAGATATATATACATATACATATACATATACATAAATATATACATATATATATGTATGCATATAGATGTTGTCATTTTGTGGAAGTTCATGTTATTCCAAATTCAAAAGGAAAAAGCATGTTTGGTTTTCCCTTTCTGTGATGGAACTTCCTTCTCCCACTAAAATAAATTAATACATCAAAAAGAAAATTCAAAGTTCAATTAAGCATTACCTAACATCTTTCCCCTTCGGACTTCCATTGTCCAATAATGAATTAACAATTGCACATGCACCTTCTTTTGTAACCCCCTTTTTACAAGCTCCGATCTAACTTACTTCTCTTGTAATGTATGAACATGAGCTCGTTTTAAATCTAATTCAGATTGAGAAATTTTTTTTTATATATAATTTTTTGAATCGTATATAAATTTGTGGGTTATCAGTTTTGATCATAAATTTTAAATAAGTATATACATCAGATTGAGTTCTGACTGATTTTAGTATAATAAATTAATATAATTTTTTTTTTTTAATACGAATCTTTTTTACTCCAAATTTGATTTACGGGTTAAGTAGTTCAAGCGGGAGGGTGAAATTGAGTGTATTTGGATTTAAAAAATACCATCCTTAACAAGCAGAAAGACTGAAAAAACAAAAACTTCTTCCAACTGAAAAACAGCATATATATATATATATATATATATATATACATGTATGAGATATGTAACTAGAATTTTTAGAGTATGTCCATTGACTAAACATTTCAAGATCCAGTATAAATTAGTAATCTTAATAAGATTCTTCTTCTTCTTTGTTTTCCATATAAAACTTGAACAAGTAGTTACAAAATACAATTCTTCTTCTCTTTGTTTTCCATGGAGAAGAAGTTAAAAGTCATGGCTGATATTTTTCAATTTGATATTTATAATTTTTTTTTTTTTGTTTATTTTAAACTGAACTTGTTTCAAAATTGTTCTTCATCAGCTATCAATATAAACAGATATAAAATATATTGGAGATTTTTTCATATAATAATATACTTCAAGAATTTATTTAGTCAATTAATATTTTTGAAATATACTATTAACAAATAAAATAATACTAAAGAAATAGTTAAAATATATATATTATATCTAACAGTACGTCAATACATATAAAGATTTATAACATTAAATATATAATTATTTATTCTCATTAAATATTTTATATTTTACAATTCACTTATTATAATTTATAATGTAACACTAAGTCGTATGTAATAATTTTTTATCTTGACCCTTACAAGAACACAATTCACCCTCGGCCGCTAGGTGGGAGTAAGTCCAGCTCCTGGCTTTGGCAATGCATATAATATACGAGTACACATGAAATTATCGCATGTATATACATATATACGTGCATGTTGGTGTATGCTTATATCATTGCATCATACATATGCATGAAGTTACGTGTACGTGTTACATTATACATATATTTAGATCTTTAAAAACACTAATTAATAATCTGCGCACATGCTTGAACGTATAAATGTATACATAGTACATATTTCAAAGAAAAGTATACATATTCATATATAAATTGAAAATTTCAGCTCCAGAAGCAGGTATTATTTTCCAAGATTTTTTCAATATATAATTGCCCACTGCCCTCCTTATTTATTTACGCTGTTGATGACAACCAGAACCAAATCTCTCACAAGAAGCTAACAATGGATTCATCTCTGACCTCCATTCCTGCACCAAAGAAGCTTCAGATCGCCATGTTTCCATGGCTAGCTTTTGGTCACATGATCCCCTTTTTAGAAGTTGCCAAGCTCATGGCTCAAAAGGGTCACCATGTCTACTTCATTTCCACCCCAAGAAACATCGATCGTCTTCCAAAACTCCCTTCACATCTTCTCCCTTTCATAACCTTCGTCAAGCTCCCCTTTCCCGCCGACCAAAACCTACCGGAAAACGCAGAGGCAACCAGTGATATCCCACTTGACAAAATGCCTTATCTCAAGAAAGCCCACGACGAACTTCAACAACCTCTAAGTGACTTCCTTGAATCTAATTCTTCTCTAGATTGGATAATCTACGACTTTGCTCCCTTCTGGTTGCCTCCCATGGCGGCTAAAAAGGGGATCCGACGAGTCTTCCTTAGCATCTTCAATGCATGGTCGCTCTGTTTATTTGGGTCAACAGCTGAAGACATGGTCAACGGGTACGACCCACGGAGTGAGCCTGAGCATTTCACTGTTACTCCCCAATGGGTCACTTTTCCGACGAAGCTAGCCTTTCCTCTTTACGACGCCAAGAGGTATATTTCTTCTGCTAATCAGCCAAACGTTTCAGGAGTTTCAGATTTGTATCGTTGCGGCTCAGTGATCCAGGGAAGTGATCTTTTGGCGATAAGAAGTTGCATGGAGCTTGAACCCGAGTGGTTGAACCTGTATGGCGATCTTCACAGGAAACAGGTGGTTCCACTGGGATTGTTGCCGCCTTCGGTTGAAGTTCAGGCTGAGAAAGATGAATCATGGATTGAAATCAATAAGTGGCTGGATGAGCAGGGAAAAGAATCAGTTGTTTACGTAGCACTCGGAAGTGAGTTGACTCTAAGTCAACAAGAACTCACTGAGTTGGCCCTTGGGTTAGAGTTATCCGGGCTGCCATTCTTCTGGGCATTAAGGATAAGGAAAGGACTCGACGCTGCAGGGTCTGAACAGCCATCGTTGAAGCTACCAGATGGGTTTGAAGATCGAGTCAAGGGTCGAGGGATTGTTTGGACGAGATGGGCACCTCAACTCAGGATACTAAATCACGAGTCGGTTGGAGGATTCTTGACTCACTGTGGATGGAGTTCAGTTATAGAGGGGCTCCTGTTTGGATGTCCATTGGTGATGTTACCTTTCATGTTGGATCAAGGATTGAACGCGAGAGTCATGGGGGAGAGAAACGTAGGCGTAGTAGTTCCAAGAAAAGATGATGAAGATGGATTGTTCACGAGGGATGATGTTGCGGATTCTATAAGACTGGTTATGGCAGATGAGCAGAGAGAGGGAAAGATTAGTTACAGGGAGGAGGCGAGGAAGATGGGCAAGTTATTTGGGGATAGAAAGCTGCATCAAAAATACATGGACGATTTTATGAAACAACTTTTGGTTAATTAATTAAGGGTAATTGTGTGCTTAATGATTAATAATCATTCATTTAAAGAAAATAAGAGAGAGAGAGGTTGAAGAAAATAAAGCACCATAAAAAGTTGGAACCTATTTAAGAACACACCATGTGTTAGCCAATGTAAGATTTAGATCATGGGATTATGTATATTCTCGTTATTATTAATTAATAATTGTTAACTAATTAATATAGAATGTAACAACTTCTACCTTTTCCCATATTATCATGTATGCTGTAATATAGGCTGAAAACAGAGAACACAGGTTTTGGACCAGCTGGGATCCAAATTTCAAGCAGGGAGAAAGAAGTGTAGTATGCTCTTTTTTAAATATATATATATATATATATATGACCGTATTATAAGTAAATAAAATATAACATACCAAATTTTATTCTTATTACAAATTTTGATAAAAATTGGAAAGATGAGTCAAGATTGAGAAACTCTCCCCACAATTTTACCAAAAGTTCTCTATTTTATTCCTCTAACGTAAAATACAATTAAATTATAGATGATCAACAATAAAATCTTTACTAGAGTTGGCCAATTAAAATATACATCCTATCAATATTAAAAAAGAATCCCAAATCTCTAAATTCTCTCTTAAATTTAGATCAATACTCTCTTTAAATTTTTTCTAAAGATCATTATGTACATATTCTTTTTAAACTTTTTTGAATGTCACTTTGATTAAAGATCATAGACCTAACTAAAATTAGTATGAACAATATCTTTGTACTAGAATATATATATATATATATAAGAATGTTTTTGTAATTATGGTTATACGAGATTAAAAAAAACAAAAAACAAAGAGGTTTCCATAAATCTCTTATTAATTATTACATAATACTAACTTCCTTTTTGTCACTTCCCTTCAAGGATCCTCCAAATGAATCATCATAATTATGAAATCAAAACCACTTCAGACTCTGATAAAAGAGTTTAATTCTCAAGCCAGCTGCCATTGAAATTGATGGAATGATAATAATTATGAGGTGAAAGAAAAGATATCACAACAAATTATCTCCTCCACCCTCAGTCAAATCTATGACACCACCCTACTTTGTCTGCCGAACGAGGCAACAACATCGTTTACAGACCTCTTTAACCAAAACCTACAGTTTATCTACATAGGAGAAGTCAGCTAAACCTGCTTTCAAAAACTAAAATACATCAAATTCAACCAGAGATTAATACATCTAATAGTTTCAGAAACACAACAGGAAACTCCATCCCAGCTTCCTATTTCATCAAGAAAACTAATTCAACAAAAAAAAAAAACAGAAGCTCCTTCTTTCCTTTTTTTTTTTTAGCTCTTCTGAAATTTTTCCACGTACGCCTGCAATTAAAGCAAGAGAAAGATGAAAGAGGGCAAAACAACATCCTATTCTCCTAATAACTTGTTCAATTTTTTAATCACAAAATTACATGGGAATTGTAATTTCTAGAATCAAAGAACTTGCAGCCATAAAAATTGGCTCAACAATTCAAGACATAATATTAAAATTTCTTTCTTTTTTTCCTTTTCATTTGTGTCTATAGGAGCTAGGAAGTCCATTGGGCCCACGTGTTCCAAAAGAGAACTCTTTCTTAACATTCTCAACCCAACTGTAAACGGAATTCAAAAATCTGATCCTTGTGCCAACTCCAATAAGTTACAAGAACACTTGAACAAGGCCAACAGAAATTCTGAAGAAATTTATAAGAAAAAGAGGGAGGTCTTTTAATCTTGTTCAACAAAATGCATTGTAAGTGCAATAATATTATTAAAATATCAGAGACCCATAAACCAAATGTACGGATTTTACATAAATAATGTACACATAGAAGTTCCCTTCTATTAGAAAGATTTATCGTTCTTATTTAACCTTATATTTTATTCATGTATCATTGTAATCCTCTATTGCTGGCTCTCCTGAGTAAGTGACAGAATGCTGCAAACAAAATTCCAACCATGCAATTTGGAGGGTTGGTAAGTTCATCCGACTGACTGCACTATGAAGGAATGGATTGTTTAATACGCTATATGAGAAAGACAAATGCCTAAATATGTCTAAGCACACGCGTGCTTTGCTACTTCATCATTCGACCACCTCAAAAATTGTTTACCCAGCCACTGAGACAAGGATGCCTAACTTTTCAAGCTCCCTAGCCACGAGTGTTAGAAAGATCATGAACCTAGTAGGCACTGACTGGACCCAAACAGTTAACAGAGTCCAATTTCCATCTCCATCATCTTGCGACTTTAATGAAATATCAAGCACAAACAATAATCTGTGGTCGTTTAAGGACAATAATAATGCAGAGAAACAGCTTTTTACTAGCGAATTTAAAGACACCATAAATTCAAAATTACAAGTAAATGAATTTTGAACTCACCTGTATAAGTTTAGTAAGCTTTGGTTTTGAAACTGATAGATATTGATCAATTTTCTCCTGAGTTTGAGGAATATTAGGGTCCTTCATGGTACCAGTAACTTTGTCGACGGCTTTCTTCACTATGTTTTTGTACGCCTCTTTGCTGATTTGACCTTCCTTCCAAGTGGGTTTTAGAAGCTCCTTAACAAACTCCACAAGTGCAAATTTAAATGCTCGGATACTCTTATTATCCCTGCTTCTCTTGGTCTCATCAGTCCTACCATCTCCATCTATATTTTCTACACTCCCTGGCACAATCTGATTTTCCTCTCGTATTTTGTTTTTCACCTCAGCCCCCATTCCAGTATCTGCCTTAGGAGTCTGAGAGTTTGTACCTGGTTCCTGATGTTTTAAACCATGGCTCCCACGAGTAGGTTCTTCTGTACAACTATTTTTATTGTCATTATGACAACTTGATCTCACAAAAGATGTTGACATTAAGTTATTAGGTGGTACTTCTGGTCTCCCTTTTGTGATGTTTTCCTGTCCAATGGGATTTAGTTGAAATCCTCGGGGGCTCACATTCATGTCATGTTTCTTGGGCTCAATACTATCAGATATAGGGTCATACTGCTTCTCCGATGCAATTGCCTGATTGGAATTGATGATTGCTGAAGAATCTGGCTTTGAAAGTCCCTGAGAATTGGTAAAAGAAGGCACCTGGGTTGCATTTTGGGGATTAAGTGCGGCATAAAGTTGTGGAAGCTGCTGCCCGTTTCCAAATAACTGAGCTAGGGAAGCTGAAAGGTTGGTGAGCCCTGCACTGCCTACAATGTCCTGAGTCAGCTGATTTGCAGGATTTATCAGCGTTATGTTTGAGTCCCCAATATCAGGTTTGCTGGTCAAGGTATTTCCCTGAAACAATGCACCATTCTCAGAACTTTTCATACTTAAGCCAGTAGAAGGATCAATGGGGATAGCCACTTGATTTTGTCCAGCTTTTGTCGAATAGCCCAATGCACTAGAAATGTGGCTGTTCTGGTCAAAGTTTTGTGCTGGCACAATATTTGCAGAAAAATTTAAATCAATTAGTGAGCCCATAGAATTTTCAATAGCCTTCTTATCATTGCATGAGAACCCAATAGCACCACCCTGTCCCAAATTGAGGTCCTTACGGAAGTAGGAGCTTTCAGTTACCACTGGTTCAAGACTTGCAACCCTATCATGCATCCAACCTGACGCTTCCTTATTTCTATTGCGCTCACGAGTTGGTGCAGGGTCATCTTTCAGAGATTCAGACTGAATGTTCTGAGGAATGTCACCATGCTCTTCCTTTTCAGTATTATTCGAAGATTGAATTCTGTAATTCCACTCAGGAGACATCTCCATGTCATCAATCCATTTGTCCGCACCTTTAGATTCAGGAATGTCAGTGCTGAGATCAATACTTCTTGCTTTCCACTGAGGTGCTTTCTTCTCAGGGTTATTAACTGCCTTAAGATTAACTGAAGCATCACCCAACACACTGCTATCCTTGAAACTATGGTTCAATCCATCAGCCGCTGACCAAGAAGAGAACCTTGGATCAGAGATTTCCATTTTTTCATTTTTTTCCTCGCTCAATTTTGGAGCTTCTTGCTTATCCACACCATTCCATGTTGCACCATTCCACACCTTCTCCACATCATTTGAAATGTGGCCCCGTCCCCACCGATCATCATGTGCCCTTCTTTCAGGACTTACACGTGCTTCTCCTTGATGAGAAAACCTACAATATTTGCCATTACGACAATTTCCAGCAGCAAAAAACTTGCATGGAATATCATGACTCCTGCGTGATTCATGATCATTTCCTCGCTCCATCGATGCATCTCTCCCCCTTTTATCATTTTCCCTTTCTCTAATCCCTTCACTCAGAGGACCTCCAACAACCCCATCTAAACCACCATCATGGAGATACCTACAAGATGCCCCTCTCCGACAGGCACCTTTAAGAAAATTAGTACAATGCTCGGTAGATCTACCACTTCTCACAGAATGCTCTCTAGAGTCATTGGGAGTGGAATATTTTGAGTCTCTACTTTTTCGGTTTCTACTTTCCCAACTATCCTCGTAGGTTTGATCACCCTGATGAAGAAACTGACAATTATTACCTCTACGGCATCTACCAGAAACAAACTCCTTACATAGTGATGCTGATAACCCTGGTCTGCTCTTGTTTCTCTCATATAATCCTGATTGTCGCCTCAAACCACGGAGAGGGCTCCTGCTCCTGCTCCTGCTCCTGCTCCTGCTCCTGCTCCTGCTCCTGCTTCGGCTCCTACTCCTGCTTCGGCTCCGGCTCCTACTTTGGCTCCTACTTCTGTACAAATTTTGAATAAACAGAAATATGATATTAAGAACTCCAAAGAAGAAATGATTAACAAACTGATTTAAAGTGCAGCTGAAGCACAGAAACTGAGAATTCAAGCATCCTGCACTTCTAGAGTCATGTCATATTATAAAAGAAAGTTTCTAAATAAGATGAATGAGAAAATGAGTTTTTCCAACGAAATGCTCCAACCAAGTAAGAAAACAGAAAAGGAAACAAACATATATGACTTGGTTTCTTAAAGAACCAAAGACAGTAGCATATAATAAATACAAAATAAAATTTGAGCGGGAACTGTGTCAAGACGACAGACCAACCTGCGGGATCTGTGCCAATCATTTTTGGGAGAATGATGATGATTTAGTTGTCTCCATTCATCAAGTCCAGGAGACATTCGTGTACCGTAACTTCCACTTCCATCCCATTCAGTTGTGGGTTTCAAATTCTTTATGTAGTCATCATTCATGCCATCACTCCTACCAGAACCTCTGCCTCTGAGCAAAGTATCCCTAGGTAGTTGTCTCAAATCAAGCTCAGACTTCGGTTTGCTGTTGGCTTCAATATCTGGCCATTTATGGTCATTTCTATCACTACCTTTTGAAGAAAACCACCCAGGCTCTGATTCTTCTCACGGAAATGCATACCTGATTTCCCAGGCCAATCATCTTCTCGGACCTTATCAGGAGAATGTTGAGAATCTTCTTTCAAATCCCACTTAGAAACACGCCTTCTGCTGCTGCTACTCATTTCAACAGAAGAATAGCTACCTTTTCGCAATCAAATGTTAAAATAATCTGCATCCAGGAAAAACCTGTTAGAATTATCTGCATCCAGGAAAAACCGGCATACGAATTAGTCTCCATAACATAAACACATTTGTCTTTCCTTTATCACTAAAACCCAAATCGAACAGTTGTTCAGAAGGATTTTAGCTCCACCAAAAGTATAATAAAATAACCATGCATAAGATAGTATTTCAGTTCGACATATGTCATACAAAAGAAAAGCAAATGATTTATCATCTGTAAGCAGTTCTATTTAAAATATCATACAAGCAAACTAGTCCAATGAATTCATGGATCAAGAAAAAGAAGGCCTTTGGATTTACAGAAGAACGATAATTACCCTAGCATGCATAAAATCAGCCTACACTTCTCTGATTACTAATTCTAGTTTAACAGCTGTTCTATTTTTGCACTATTTTGGCCCCAAAAAAAATTTAAAAAAGGATACTCTATTTTAGACCCTTGTCCACAATGTAAGATATTGGCTAAAGTTCGATACCACAATAATCTAAAGTTTCTTACATATCACATTTAATAAGTCTTAAAGCATCACACTTAAGGATTAGATTGTATCACAATAAAAAAATTGATGATACTCACAAAGTATTTTATTAAATTAACTTTAACCTATCTCAGAAAATGAAATTATAAAAACCATTTATATATCCTGAGCAACTTTTTTAATAAAAGTTAAAAATAGTAATACCAATCGGGTTAGGAAATAATACTATCAATACAAATAGAAAACCTAAATGCTGAAAAAAAAATAATATCTTAAAATTATTAAAATTATAATATAAACTTCTAAAATCTTAAAATTTTGTATTTAACAGAATTATAATTCCTAGTTTGTGTAGGCAATCTAAACTAACCCATTTTGCACCAATCACTTCCTTATGTTCGTTGGATCCCTTGGGGCATGATGAGCAATAATTGAGGCTTAGTAATATTTTCACTGTGAAATCCTTCAATTAACATCTCTCCCACCCCCACCTTAGGATGATCTTCCTTATAACCAAATCTGGGGAAGAAAAAATTTATCATCTAAAATTACTTTCTCCAAAAAAACAAATGCATCACCTAGAATTACTTTCTTTTCTTTTGGACGGTGGATCCTTACTAATGATAAACTTCAAAAAAGGAAGATTTTTTAGTTGTTATTTGTGTAATGCAATAACAGAGGTTCCAAATCATTTACTACTATGCTGCCATTTTTCTTGCCACCTTCGGTGCTCGACTCTTCATTTCCTTAATTGAATTGCCTTGTTGCTGGGTCTAATCAGGATGAGTTTTGGGTTCCGCAGGCTACTAGAATGATATGAAAGGAGAAAATTAGTCTCCTATTCCCTTGGCTACCCTATGGGTTATCTGGAAGGAAAGGAACCATAAGGGTTTTGAGGATCATGTTTTTCCTTTTGGTAAAGTTAGACTGCTGAACCCAAACCTCATGTCTTTTCTTTTTGTCATCCTCTTAATACTGATGTACAATATTTATAATCTTTTCTTTTATTTTTTCATCTAAAAAAATTTTCCTGATGTTCTGTACTTTGTTTCTATCTTTAACGGAAACAAGAATGGTATTAGAATCATTTCTTAAATTTTTAGAATAATTAGCCACAAACCAATTCTGAAAGCAGTATTGAGTTCAAACCATGAAATTCATTCATTATTATAGTTTCCCTGTTTTTCTCAAAATTAGGTCATCTATTAATTCTTTTTGGTTTGCATCAGTATGAACACATTCACATGATAATATTCATGCAATATAACTAATAAGATTTGAGTCAATTTTTATCAAGTTATATTTTTGGAATAAATTAATGATGTCACATTATCCTAAAGCAAGGGGTCTAGATTCAAACCTTAATAACCTATTGCCTATCATTAATATCTTTTTGCCCATAGTTGAGCATATATGTAAAGTCCATTACTTTGTGCTTGGCTCAAACAATTCTGATTTTACATCTTTGAGTACAAAAAATAAAACTTGGATTTCTTTCTATTAGTTTAAACTTTTGACACGATGAATTTCCCTACAAAATTATTTAACAATTGTAAAAACAGCTTGTGGCTACTCTTGAGAGCCTAGATGTGGTTAATAAAAAAGATAATGCATGCTTCTATATCATATGCGATAAAAACACAAAAATTCTATCTCAAAATAAATCACTTCCAAATATTGCAATCCTAAGAGAAATCACTTTGCCGAATATTGCAATCCTAATAAATAATAACATTTCCATATTGGTAAGCTGCCAAGCCAGTGCATTTTCTCAGAGTATTAGAAAAAACATAACTTCGAGACACAAGTCTGCATGAAATTGTTACGACCTCAATCATCTAAAGGACTATAATTTTATCAAGGGGAAGAAGACATTTCAATGACTGAAGTAAAGTTGCTAAACCGACAACCATGTCAGTGATCAAGCACGTTCTCAAATTTGCAAAAGGCTCCCCTAGTTACTACTAATTTTTTTTCCTAATACTAACTGAGTATAACATAAATTTTCCATCCTATTGAATAGTTCATCTTTTGAACCAGGGAAATCCCATCCATTGTTGGGAACCTTCATCTCTTTCATTTTTTTAATGAAAATTAAGTATTTATTAGCATTAACAGGTGTAACCCGCATACAAACAAATTTTCTCTTTATCTATGTACTTCATCTTTCAATTTTTACTTCTGAGAAAGACACACAGAGAGGTAACCTACATATTTTTCCCCACCTATAGCACACATTTACAAGATAAGGCATCTCTTAAACAAAATAAATAAATAAAATCACGCTGCTTTACAGAAAATCACCTTCATTGGATCAGCAAGATACACACATTTCAAGAACTCAGCCAGGAAACGTGCAGGGAGAAAAAAGAAAAGGTAAATGCATTTAACTTTTAAATCTGCTCCGGGGAACTTTTTCAATGTACCCTAAGGAACAAACTGCACCTCTTACATACAACAGGAGCTCATTCCTTTAGAAATTAACTTATTATGGTCCGACAAATATGCAAAGAAAGAGAGTAAGAATTTCTGAAAGAGGAAGCCTGAAAAACCCCTGTATGGTGCCAGGAAAAGCATCATTCCAGTAATGCGACTATTCATAACTTTAGTATTTTTATAACAAAAAGGTAATATAATTATCAACATAGGCAACACGGGGGTGCAACCCAGATACCAAACAGTTTTGCAAATCAACCAAATTGTTAATGCGGTCCCTGAGTCCTCAGGAAAATTAAGAGGATAATAATAAATCAAAAAATATTGGGTCTGAAACTGCATATCCTTGGGCCTACTAAAAGATGGTTTTATACCCTTAAAATCCTCCTAGTTTTTTCCTTCCAAATAACCCAAAAGGAAGTGATAAGAACATTTTATTAAATTTATCCCTCCGGATGCCTCTCCAACCCCATATTTAATCAATGACTGATCATTAAAACACCCACCCAGAAGCCCATAGCAATCATAACAACTAAAAAGAGAAAGAGAACCATAAAATTTTTTTTAGGAGCAAAATTAGTGTATTATACATAAGCAACAAAAGTATATAAAAACTTTACAATTCTGTCAAAAAACCAATTAAAACTTCGAGATCCACGTAAGTAGAAAGAGGATGACCCTTTTATCAAAAAACACCTAAAAATTAGAGCCATAAATCCTTGAACCTATTAAAAGAAAATTACATGCCCTCAATGGCTCTTCTCCTTATAACCATAAGGTTGCCCTCAAAAGCTTTTCTGTTCCTTTTCTTCCAAATAATAGATAAGGTGGCAAGAAGAATAAAACCTACATCATGATATTTAACCCCTTTGATGCCTCTCCGTGCCTGCATCTCCTCTTTAGCCGTACCAACTAGTACCCAGTGGATCCCCAAAAGATTGTAAGCCATAGACCAACCGAAATGAAAAAGAACACCAAAGAAGAAGGTGGTTTTCAATTCTGTGTTACTCTTACATAAGTAACATCCATTCACAAAGATTCTTCCCCTCTTAATCAAATCATCTATGGTTAGGGTGCATTCATTTATCGCTCCTCATGCTAAAAAGGCCACCCTTCGGGGAGCATTATCTTCTAAATAAGTTTCCATGGACAATTCTCGACAGCTCTCTCGATCTTGGTTCGATGGAGGTTGTAGGATTTCACTGAAAAAAAAAAATCATTTTAGACTGAACTTCCACTTTGACTCATTCATGGCCTCATTCAGTCTTCCATAGTGGATAAGAGGTTGAAAAGATTGACATACTCATCCACCTACCAATCACTTAGATTTCTTGTCAGCTCCACCACTTAAGTTACATTTCCATGGGATTAGAACAAGATTCTACCACCGTTGTCACTTTGTTCCAAACTAAAAATAAAAAGTTTCAGGGAAGTGTTGAGCTAATGTTTCTCCCTCAATCCATTCATGGAGTATAATGAAAAAGGACATCATAGAGCTCTTCCAAGATATGCACCAAAGTGGGTCCTTCCTAAAATCCATCAATTCTTCCTTTATGGTCCTCATTGCGAAGTATGGGAGACCACATAACATAAAGGACTTCAGACGCATAAGTCTAGTTGGGTGTATTTACAAGCTAATTGCCAAGGTGCTGGCAAGAAGAATAACTTCAGTTATGGATAATGTGATTGGGGAATGCCAACACGCCTTTGTGAGAGGAAGATCCTTGGCACTGCTTTGATTGCTAATGAACTGGTGGATGAAGTTTTATATAAAAAAGAGGGACAAGTGTTATGCAAGCTTGATATGGAGAAGGCCCATGACCATGAGTGTTTGAATTTTGTGAACTATGCTTGACAGGTTGGGTTTTGAAGAGAAGTGGAGAAGCTGGATAAGGCATGCATCACAACCACATCATTTGCGGTTATTGTAAATGGAGGGTCATCATCTTTTTTTCCGGGCATCTAGAGGGTTAAACCAAGGGAAGCATTTATCTCCTTTCTTATTCATTGTAGTTATGGAGGCTTTGAACAAGATGTTGATAAAACTTAAGGAAGTAATTTATTCAGATGCCTAAAGGAGGGAAGGAGGGACAGGGTTGGAGAGGTAACACACTTATTCTTTGCATATGATGCTATGCTTTTTTGTGAGTCAGACAAGAGAGCTATGTTTAACTTTAGATGTGTTTGATATGATTCCAGACAGTTTTTGGGCTGAGTATCAACCTATCTAAATCTGAAATGGTCAGATTGAGCACAAAGAGGGAATCAGAAGACTTGGTGAGTGCCTTGGGGTGCAGACTTGTCAGCTTACCAATTAGATATTTGGGTTTGCCTTTAGGTGCTGATTTCAAAGATATGAAGACATGAGATCCAGTTATGGATAGATTTGAACAAAGATATGTTGGATGGAAGCAAATCTTCATTTCTAGAGGAGAGAGACTCACACTCATTAGAATCACTGTTATTAATTTACCCATTTATTTTTTTTTGTCTCTTTTGACTATTTCGGCGAATGTGGCTAAGAAAATGAAAGTAATTCAGTGCAGATTCCTTTGGAAAGATGAAGAAGTTAGAAGAAGATATTGGTTGGTGTCTTAAAAGGAGACCAAGAAGTCATTACTCAATGATGGGCTGGGCTTGAGATCCTTGGTAGAAATGAACAAGGTCATGCAGCGCAAATGGCCATGCAGGTTTATGAATGAGGAAGGAGAGTTGTGGAGGAGAGTGTTAGAAGCTAAGTTTGGCTTGGATGAGAAAGGGTGGTTCACTAGAGAAGTAACAAAACCTCATTGGAAGAGCACGTGGGAAAAAATTGATGAAGGCTGAGATGGTAGAAAAGGGTGAAAGAGTAAGTTTATGGGAGGATCAGTCGTTGGAGGATGGTTGTCTCAAGGATCAATACCCCCATATCTATGTTATAGCCCAGAAAAGGGAAGCTAAGATTTGTGATCATTTTGTGACTATGGAGGGAGGAGAGAGAGTTTGGCAGGTGTTTGTTTTGAGCAATTTGAATGATTGGGAGATAGAAAAGTATGAGAGACTGTTGAATACTCTTTCCAGAGTGAACTTAGACGGTAGCAATGATACCCTGCAGTGGTGTCTCGCGAAGAATGGGTCATTCACGATCAAATCTTTTTACAAGCATTGGTTTAGATTTGAAAATAATGATATCAAATTCCCAATTCAGCCAATTTGGAAGTCCAAGGTGCCATCCCGGATTTCTTTTTTTTTTTTTTTTTTTTTTGGCCTGGGAAGCTAGCAAGAGTTGCATTTCAACTATTGATAATTTGAGAAAGAGGGACAAGATCTTGATTAATGCGTGCATTTTGTGTAAGAGAGCGGAAGACATTTGCAATCATCTCTTACTTTGGTTCCCAGTTGTATACAAGCTTTGGAATTTGGTTCTTGGGCTACTTCGTACTAGTTGGGTGATGGTAGAATCAGTGCGCGATGAAATTTGGTCATGGAAGAGAGTGAGGGGTAACGAGAAGCACCTGATGTAATCCCACTTACTATTTTATGGGTAGTGTAGAAGGAGAGGAATAGGACGGCTTTTGGAGGGAAGATGATGTAAATGGTTTTAACATTATTAAAAATAGATGGTTCCAAACTCTTATCTTTTGTTAATGGGTTATTCTCCTCATGTAATTGGAGAGTTAAGAAACCTTATTAACACTTCGATTGAAATGTAAATTTATTATGTATGGGCTTGGTAGCCCCATGGTGCCACTATTAATACCATATTTTACACTTGATATTTAAAAAACAACTACAAGTTTTTATCCACGAGCACCATAATAGAAGGTAATGTAGTGTTTCAACTACCCTCTTGCAAAAATAAAACCCATTAAATATGATTTCCCTCCTTTTTCTGAGAGTGTCTGTAGCGAGAATCCTTCCTCTCGCCACTTCCTAAGCAAGGAATGCAACTCCATGAGAGGCATTAAATTTTCAACTTCGGTTCTACGAAAGTTCCCATTGTCGAAGCAGTGTTAGCCAGCTGAAAGTAGAAAGATTCCACAAAAAACAAAGCCTCCATTAGAACCTAGCTTTCATACCAATTTATTAATACCCTCATGTAAACCATTGCAACGAAAGCAAAACTAAGGAAACTAACGTATTCATCCACCTCCAAGTCATTGAAATTTCTGACAAGGTCCACTACCTTGGCCCTAAAACCTAAAGTATAAGAAAAAGTCTTTGCCATAATGACCTCCTTAAATCTTGCCAACTGGAACATGGTGCAAAAAAGTTGCAAATTCATTCACTCAGTTATCCAACCTAAACCTCAGCCTCTATCC